TGTGTATTTACACAATAAGAATTCTGTATGATAATGTTTGTATTATAAATAAATAATGGAATATTATATGATGCATTTTACATTTTTAGATTATTATACGAATATTCTGTTGCCAAATAACTGTTGAATTAACACATATCCTTGTTAATTTACAAAAAATTCAATTAAATATCAGTTTTGCATTATAAGAAATAAACCAGACAATTGTCTTGGAACAACATTTAGCCGGGGAAATTTGCAATGTTCCGTTGAAAATCATAGAGGTACTCAATTAATAAATTTTTATTTCATTAATTTGAAAAACACTTTATTCATTTCAAGTATTCGCAATGTAAAATAAGGATTGCTCCTTTAAAATTAAAAAAAGACGAAAGGTAGTCACAAAAGAAAATCTAGAATTTTGTTACTGAATTAGCGTTGTCACGTAGGTTTTAGTACTTTGAAAAAGTTGTGATGTGTTAAAATAGACCTAATATAATACCTAATTTTCAGTAGTTTTATTTTTATATATTGACGTATACTTACGTAATAAAAAGTGACGTAGGTTTTAGGTTTTCAATATTACATTGCTTTATTATTCTTTGAAGTCATTTTTTCAACTATTTTATATTCAGACAAACTCTAGCTGTATGAAATTCTAGTATGAATCTCCCTAGCTTTTTCTAACAGTCTGAGTCCAATAACCATGTTTTATATAATAATTACACAAATAAAATTTGAAACAAATATAAGTGGAAATTATGTACTTTAGAAATTATAATTTTGGCTTTCATTAAAGTGATATATAAATTATTTAATGATAAGACATTGCAATGTAATATGCATGGCATTTATAACGATTACCCAAAATAAAAACAAAATAAACTGTGAAAGAAAACATATAATAAATATGAACCATATTCACATGTCACAAACAACAAAATAAATTACAACTTCATACATTTAAGTGATGTAACAAAACACGGAACGTCCCTACAATCTAATCAGATCGATATATTTATATTATTTTATTTATTAGGTAATTATATTATAATTGTGCGTCTCTTCTTTCTAACATACAATATTAATACGGTACTTACTAAATACTATTTTGAAGTGTTTCATAAGGTACCTACTTATTTAATTGTTACTTTCGTTAACGTTTCGATTTCAGTATCTTTAATATTTAATAAAATCACATCAGAAAGATTAATCGACCAAAATAAGAAAGTATTCATCGATTTTAAACTTAATAAGCTGAATTTTAGCCTACGCGTGCACTTGTTTTCTGTTGTACAAGTGCTTCTTCTATTGCATACGTACTTGAGGTGATAGAAATAACGGATTTTATTTTCATAGAAATAAGAGGAGTACAGTGATAGAAATAATATGTAACGATGACAGAAAACACATGTGCGCACGTATACCGCCAATTTTTAAAAATAATTGAAGGGCATTTTTGTCTAACCTGATTTGCTGTTGCATTCAACACGAGTTAATTAAAATACAGTTATTTTTAAGTGATAATACAGTTATTTTGATAAACTCGTGCAACATAACAATATTATTCATATTATATCCAATAAATAAATACATTTGACTTAAATTTTATTTTTATTAACATAATAAGAAGAGACAATAAACGATTTTCAATCGTATAATTAAATAAATCTATTGACGAAAATTATCAACAAAATAACAAAAATTAAGTACTGAAATAACAAAATCAACGAAAAAGAAAAGGTACAGTAATGTGATGTTTTTTAGATTAAACCAACCCTGGTTACCGAAGTGTGACAGATTTTTCGTTTTTACTTTGATTTTAAATTTATTTATTTTCAGTTATATTATTACAGTACAACCATAACACCTGAATGTGAGCCCATTCTACAACATTCATGAACCCATTAATGAGGAAGTATTAAAAAAGAAAACATTAGTTCCCGAAATCAAACTAGATGTCGCTACGGTGCTTTCTCGATTTCCCCATGGCAGCCAATTCGGTTTTCTTTTTCTTTCATGTATAAAAGTAAATTAATTTTTAGAACTCAATGAACAACTCATATCCTATTTGTAATTTTTCGTATTTTTATTGATATCTAAGTTTCGAACTTTGCAAATTTCAGTTTTTTTTTAATATGTTAGTTAAAAGGAACGGAAATTATTATCTTTAGTTCATTCATTTCTAGCAAAAATCAACTTTTGGTAGAGTCACCATTTAGTGAGGGGCTCTTTTAGTGCTTTCTTTTTTTTCTTAAAATACTTCCTCATTGTATATTGGATGATATTAAATTTTAGTATCATATTCTTATTCTGAACACATTAGGTTTCTTTATAAAACGAATTTACATTTGTCATGGCCAGATTTTAGAATAGGTGATGCATTAAATAGCAATTGAATTAAATAGCATTTTATTTTCATGTAACTATGACAATTATTTGGTCGCAGTGGGTATGATATCTACTACGACCGTATTATTTTTCTGTCTCTATAAGTTCTTTTCTATCTATGTCTTGTCACGATTCCAAAAATCTGGCCATAATATTTATATTTCCTAATTACTTAAGGGGACTTTGCCTACCTAAACTATTATCACCTGCTACCAAACTATAATGTGATGTTTATTGGTGTGAAGTTGATTTTCGAGATCGCTTCTTTTTGCTTTTTGCATACAATCCTTCGATTCCTTTGCCAAATGGTGGCACGGGGTTCGTTGTAAGGTAAAAGTTACCTTTGGCTCTGGAAAAGCAAAAAGATTGTAAAGATTTTTTTTTTAACCTCTTTTCTATTTATATTTCGATTTGCTCCAAATACTGTACTAGAAATAATTCAACAACAACAACATTAAAATGAATATATAGTTAGTAGTGGCTTTAGAGTTTATATCCCTTTGAAATTAAAAAAAAAACAAACATCGTTATGCTAGTGCCCTCACTACAAAAGCTCAATAAGTAAATAATATGTTAACATTAAAACGTACAACATTAATTGTCTTTGGTTAGTATTGTGATTCCTGATGATCGCCTACAGCTTTCCGATTTTCAGGTTTATTATATTTCTGGTTCGTGTATACATTAACTGGTCTCTTTTGTAGCTGGATTAATGGAATACATATAATAAATCAATATTAGACCACATCACATACATTGCTCAGATTCAAAGATCTCTTGTTTTATGGAGTATCTGAAATAAGAAAGTACCACAACATCCCAAGATAATATTGAAAAGTTGATTTTCTACATTGACTTGACTTGAGATTCGAACCCGGTACCTCAAAGACACTGGATAATACTTATCGGATCACCTTAATTGCCTTTTATAACTCATATTTAAGACTTGAATAGAAGCCATCTTAAAGAAGAGTTCAAATAAGAAATAGGACTACCTATCTCATCGGAGTGGCTATATGATGATAGACCAAGTGAATCGTGTGTATTATAGAATGGCAGCGCCAATCTGTTGGATTCCGAAATGAATTCTTGATCCATCTAGTCTCTTATTTACGAAAAAGGTTACGATAAAACTTAGAATCGGAATAAATATGAGCCAAAGTCACATGTTTAACGCCATACTGACGTCAGCCCAGTAGCTCAACAAAGACTCTCCTGTACCACCGAAACTACTTAATTTGGCTATTTTTCCCTATGTCACGAAATAGGGTATAGATAAATAAAGGACTAGATTACCTATCTCATCGAGATCGAGAATTCGTTTCAAAATCGAAGAGGGTGGCAAATGGAAGGTAAATAAATTACATTTCATACTTAGTATCACAGTTGTATCCCATGTAGATCATGCCGACTTCAGGTGTGGGGTTAGATCGGAACTTTTGGTATGAATCAGCAGGTGACGCTGGGAACGCTTCAGGGTTTCTTACAGACTCCGCATAGAAACGCCATGATCGCCAATGACTGCACAAATCTGTAATAAGACGAATATAATATTTATGTTAGTTATGTCAGATCAAAGTTTTATGTGTCATAATAAAAAGTTGAAAATATATTTTAAAATGTTGTCTTTATTTGCTCTTACAAAGTAACTCAAATCACTCAAATAGATAAAAACTTATGTGGTTGAACGCATAATAACTTTAAATCTTGGAGTTTTGTATCGTTTATACGCCAGCCTGGGTAGCATGATGAATCTGAGATTTTTAAAACTCTGGAGAAGCTCGAGAAACGGCTTGAGCCCATAGAATATCTCACACTCGGCTGTTTAAATTATAATATACAACCAAAACTACAATATAAGTGAAAAAAAAAATAATGTAATTATAAATCGAGTACATAAAAGAAATAAAAACTATAAAAAACAAAATAGGATAAGTATAGACATGTAATAAGATACTAGAAAATTTTAACCACAAAACACAGAGAAGAGTTCTGTGTTTTGTAATAATAGCCCCCTTGTTTTGCTATATGTCATAGATAGGGAATTGTTTTAAAAAAGCCAAATGAAGAAAAATAAATATAGGAGGGAAAATATAGGCGGTGAAAACGGCCGATAAAGAACTTAAGAATGAATTAAAGGAAGAACTAGTTCCTATGAGAAATAAAAGATCAAATGATAGAACTGAAGTGAAAGAGTGGCAAAGGAATAATGCGGAATAAGGTAGCCGGCTAGCTATTGTCAACCCTTGGATTTGAAAAAATATCTCAATCTCAGTCTCACTCTTGTCAATTACTCGAGTTTCGTTGTGTGTGTGAGTAAACTTCTCAGAGAGTGATTGATCCATCGGCATCCTTAGTTTTATTGCGTAGGCGTTTTAGTGGATAAATTCCCTTGAATCCATCGTATTGGACCGGATAACTTTATGGATGAGACTCCTATAAATCCATGATGATGACACAGTTGGGGAACCGTGACAAAAAGGCGCAAGAGCTGAATATTTCAGTATGTTAAAGTACTAAAGGTATCCGTCAGGGGTCAGGTAGAACATCTGGTGGTATCGGAAAGCGAAAAACATCTTGTCACGACCTCATAATACTAATAAATGTGAAGTAATTACGAATATGTGTGTGGTGTATGATTTTCAATGTCTCTTTAAGTTTTCTAGTGATAAGTTAGAAAATAATATATTGTCGGTTACTTACTGTCATCTGAGAGTGGCACAGGCGCAAAGCGTGGACATCCCGGTTGGATACTTTTCCCACCGTTTGGCCAGAAATCGACAGTACCAGTGCGCACAGGAGCTCCATAGCCGCCAGCGTCTGTGTGTATCACGTCTACGAACTCAGCGTCTTCAGAGTTTATGTGCTCCATAACCACACCATCAGGGTAAAAAGCCGGGAATGCTGGGTCAAGAGCTGTTAGCCTGAAATTAAATTTAAACATTTAAACTAAATATTTCATCATATCATAAAGAGGTAAGTTTTCTAACTTTATTTGTCTGTAGGGATAATGTTTAGAAATAATGATAGAATCATTAAGATTGTTGCATCAATGGCAGTTACATGATACGCACGTTATATAAGCTATAATATACATGTGCGAAGTCGTGAAAATCAGTTAGCATTTAATAAATATCGACATTAGCATTCGACTTATAGTAACAAGTAAAGTAAAACGAGTTTTTACTTAATAAGTTTTATGGATAACTGGATTCGTATATTAATTAAATAGAACAATAACTTCTACGTTCAATTTTAATGAAAGGATGCGACAGGATGCGTGATCCTGTGTTATATTGAAATGATTATTAAGTTAAAGATATTATTTGATAAAATGTCGCATTTGAGTTCGATTCTCAAGTTAATTTCCAATATAAAAAAAAAATATAAGCTAGCAAATCATTTCAATATTGTTTTGTAAACACAGATTTCGGATCTGTATACTATAAAAATATTTAGGGTATTTACTATATTTTTCCGACGGAGAATAAACCTGAGACTCCCACACTCCCACCATCCATCGATATAAATGAGGTATAGAGGTGGCCAACTAACGTCACGGCATGAGGCACTTTGAAACTAGCTTGTCAGTGATTTGATCACGAATGTCGTCAGAGTTGTGAGCGAAATATAAGAAACATTGTTATTTTGTTTACCTTTTTACTGTTTTTTGATATCTGTTTTGTAATTCACGTGCGGTGTAGCCGGCCACGTGGCTACCGAGTGAATGTCCTATTATGTGTATTTTGTCTAAAGGTAGACCGTTTTCTACTAGCACTTTGATTTGTTCCGCTGCTGCAGCACCAACCTGCAATATTATAAATAAAAACACCGATTAAAGACACTATTTCTGGTCTAGTTCAAGTCACCGATAGACGAAGATCCTTCCCTAAAACATTTCATCACATGACATGCATGCACAGTTTTTTTTTTTTAATAAATAGTGACCATTTTTATTTCAATAATTCGATATAGTGCGACGGCACTGGTAGCATTGACTCATTTGTGAATTTGTTTTATTGTAGTTTTCTGAGAGGGCTATAGAAGTGAAAAGTAAAATATACAATACCAGCCACAGACAACAAATAACACACACATAAATATTAAACAAAATTGACTGGTCTTCATTTCTTTTTTATTATTGTCGCTTATATGATAACTGTATATAAATTAAATGTTTTCATGCTAAAATTTTGTATTACATTATACCTAAATTCTTAAAGATACGTAACGAGAGCTCCAATAATCTTGCTATGTTTATAATAATCAGTGTTGCCAACAGTTGAATTAGCTCTCCACTAGATTCTACTTTAAAAACCACCAGAAAACCACTAACAAATATGTCACTACATTCATACTCGCTAAATTTTTCGCTAAGAGAAATTTGTTTTATGAAACAAAATAATAAGTGTCTATAATATTAGTTTCCTTTATTATTACGCCACAAAAATTAACAATCAGTAAACAAAATATAGTAAACCAGCACAATTTATTCCATAATAACTATTTTTGTTTGCACCATAATCTTCCATTTCAGATTGATATGACTCTTTGGTACCGATTTGTTTGACAACGGCTTCTGGAATTTTATAATCATTGCAGCATTTTTCTTCCAACCTCAAACAACAACGTATTCTCAAAATAGCAGATAAAAGATTTAACTTCATTCTATTTCTCTGCTTGTTCTTTATTACATTCATGCTGCTAAATAGTCTCTCAACATCGGCATTAGAATGAGGTAGTATTAGGAGAGTAATCGCAAAAGTCGCCAATTCCTTAAACCTCGATTCTCCTTGAGTGTCTTTGAATTGCAATACTTTCATCCAAAATTTTTGTGTGTTTCTAGTTTCATTCCATTTTAATAAATGAATTTGATGCCACTGATCATCGACTCTCGCTATATATTCTGCACTTTTATTGAACTGAGCCATTATGTCAATTAGTGCTTCTTTATTGTGATTAAGTACTTGTTCAACACTTTAAACTAAGTATGGAAACTAAATTTTTATAAGCCACTAGAAAAATCCACCAGCCACTAAAACCATTATTTCGCCACTAAATGAAGGATTAAAACCACCAGTTTTAGTGGAAAATCCACTAAGCTGGCAACACTGATAATAATATTCAGTTGGAAATACGTACATCCAGCAGAATCCTAAACATTTTCAAGGTCAACAAAATCTATGTTTACATTTTAATCAATTTCTGTGTTTATTCAATATGTTAATTTTGTTTAAAGTCTTAATATGCACGGCGGTGTACCTGGAAATAATTTCCGAAAACAGATTTTCTAAACATTTCCAGAAACTTTGTAAACGGTACAGTACAGCACGTGGTTATACAAAACTGACAAATTTCTCAATTGAATTTTAATCTAAAGCTTAATTTAATATGGGTAGGATGCAAAATCAATTGCGGAAATTTGACATATTGTGGTACATTGTTACTAAACTTTCAAAAAGAACTCTGATTCTAAATGTGATTATTAGATTTAAAACTGTAATTAATATAAATACTAAAATAATTGCAACTGACTTGTTTAATTTAATAATAAAAAGTAAAACCTAATGAGTAACAGAGTTGTAGTTTTTTACGCCCTGATCTACTAAATCCAGAATAACTTGTAAATTCGTGGTTAGACATCGCGACCGGATATAATAGACCCTACCTGAGTTATTTTAACAGACATATGCATAGTAGAAAGTAACGTGCACATATATTTGTTTTTACATATTTTTAAAATTTTAGATTACGTTTACCTGCCCAAAATTTGACAATGACCCATATAATTGAACACTCGATTTTGAGAACTTATAGCAATTAACGAAATAAAGAAAAAAAACTTTATATGAAAAACACATAGTATTTCAAAAATTCATGCCTCTTCGGTGCCTGACATGGCATGATGTAAGTAACCGAAACCGAAACCTTATGCTAATCTTTCGGATCAACATCCGAAAGATCACTTTTCAAAAATGGGTTCGCATTGTTTTACGTTGGTAAAACTGATAGATTATTTAAAAAACCAATCTATAAATTACATTAAAATATGTAAACTTTTTTCTGAACACATGGTTGCCATATTGTTTCTCTATACGTGACGTTAGTTGTTGTAGTAAACAAAGCTATATAGCGATATAGGTTCTACTGCGGACAAGACATTGTTTACAGGAACGGCGCTGCCGTATGACGTGATATCACTGAACACTGCGCTCATGTGCTTCCATCATAGAACAGACGATCGACTCGGTGTACGAGTCTCTGAAAAAGATTTGTATTTTTTTTTTCACTAACCACTACAACTTATTTTTCAATTTATAACACAACAAGATACTTGGCTGGAAATGTGTTTGACGCAGAGATAATCTGCACGTAAGTTTGTTTTTTACTTACAGTTTTTATAAAAAAAAATAAGTTCAAAAACTAAAACCCGACTTACAAGAGACGACAAGAAATTTTTTAATAAAATAAAAATCTTGACGTTTGTTTTTAATAAATTAATTTTCGGGTATATTTAAGCAAAATCGCAAGCAAAAGTTATCAATATATATTTATTTGAAATGTGCTAATTGAGCCCATTAAATACCCCATACAGAATTATTGACAATTATTTTTTTCTTGGTTTCTTAATTTGTGCTCTGTAGAGGGTGCTGTTGCCAATATAATGTAACTTAGCTTCTAATGATGATAATAATGTATATTTTATGTTATTTTTCTCATATGGACTAAAATATCCTATTTTAATTTATTCACTGGACAATTTACAAAAAGATCACGTTGCATGTCACGATGTGTGCTGTATGTTTTGCATATCATAGTGTTCCACTGTATTTCAACACAACTTATTCTAAGATGATTACGTTATTTTGATCCAAGTCACGTAACAATGTCATTAAATGCAACCTCGAGATATAACCTTTTTCAATGTCACTATCCGGTAAAAGATTTTTCATATCGTTTTGTTCTATAAATTTTGTATTCATAATGCTACGAGTATATTAATCATTATTGTAGTAAAACCTACTTATAATAATAATTTAATCTCCATAATTTAATACGGAAGATAAAATTAATATTTCTGAGATACTTACTTATTAACTTTACTTGTAAACTAGAAAAAAACAGGAAATTTTGTAGTTTACCAACATCCGGTCTCCGATTGATCATCTGAATTGAGAGTTTAATGTTAACTACGTCTCAAACTGTAATTAAATGTCACTTAAACAAGTTTTCGTTTCTGATTTCGTTAAAATTGGGACTTTTTGACTAGTGAACGTAAAAAAAATAAGTTATTGAGAATAATTAGTTGAGATGTCGTACTTTTCTCAATTCAGAAATAGGCTGCATGTATTTATTTATTTATTATAATTGAAACCAAGCTCAACATTAGGGCCAATCAAAGGTTTCACATCATCAAACATTTACACGTGTTGTTTCACAGACACCGATCATACAAAAGTAAAATTGGTATTTCTATTGGATTTTTCTTAGTCAACCAGATTTGACTTTTCAATACAAGATTGACAAAAAAAGTTATGTCTCAGAAATTTCCTGCCAAATAGAAAAGAAATCATCTCAGTTACTAGACCATATGGAATTGTAGAAGCATTATTTACTGTAATATATTACTCCTAATATAATAATTCAACAATCAAAAATTATATGAGACTGAAATATTAAATTTAATTAATCATAATTATACAAATCAATTATATTCTTGTAAGCTCGAATTATGTACGTATTAGTGTTTGTTTGTGTTGTATGAAAATAAATGTAATTAAAGTAGGTATGTTGTGTATAAATAATAATAAATAATTGCTTTTTCAATTTGATATTTTAATTGTGAGAGCGGCTCTTCTTTCAGACTTGTATTATTTGATCTTTGAATGCAAATTTGGAACAAAAAAATAGATTCACTTTTTCAAAGTTGTAAGCATGAACGATGCGTGTTAACGGAGAATTAGCCGCGTAATTAGTGGCGCGGCGGGGTACCGCTAGTAGTGGAGTGTGACGGGTACGACGAGACGGAGTGCGCAATGCTACACTCGTTACCAACTTTTCGCAGTCTATATAGCCACAAACTAAAATGAGCAATTTATGTTCCCTGCAATTTTCCAAATAAGAGATTTATGGTAGCCGCAGATGATAGTTAAGGTGGCTTACAATTTTTTTTTAATACGCTCAATACGTGATTGATATACGGTATATTGTGGTAATCAGACTTAGCTTGCATACTACAAAAGACCGCGCACATATGCATAATAAATGGTCTTAATTACGTCACTATCTTTAAATGGTTTACCTCATAACAAATCCTAAATTATTATATGCTTTACTAGTTATATGTTCAGTGTGATTAGTTAGAAGCATTTTACTATCCAAGAGCACTCCTAAATCTTGAACTACGTCAGTTATAAAAACCTATTATTTCATTCCTATACCTATATTCCACCTATATTCCAAAAACCTATACATATATAGGTTAAGATTTCTTTTACGTGTGAAGGTGATACACTGACATTTATTTTTATTTATTGATATCTTGTTATATGTGTAATATTATGATAAATGTTCTAAATCCAATCGTAAGTTATGACATTCCTACTCGGAGTTTATTTTAATTTTTTTTTTGTCGCCGGCATACATGACGCGTTTAGTGTATGTTGTACTATCCGAGATATCATTATAAAATAAACATCCTAAATGCTATCCCTGGGGTATACCAGTAGGTATTTTTGTAAAATCCGAGCAATATCCACCAATCACAACAGCTTGCGAGCGGTTAGCTAAGTACGATTGTATGCACTTCAGTAGATAACCACGAATACCCAACTCATACAATTTCTTCAACAGGATAAGGTGGTCAACACGATCGAATGCTTTTCAAAATCGGTGTAGACCACATCAACCTGTCCACCACCATCCATATTTGTAAAAACATAGTAAATAAAGTTAGATTAGTTATGGTTGATCTATTTCGAAGAAAACCATGTTGCTGGTTATTGATACCTTAAATAATTATGGGATATATAAGCATTGCAAACGATTTTTTCGAAAATTTTTGCGACCGTGTTTAAAAAAGAAATTCCTCTATAGTTTTCGATAGTCTTTTTAGAACCTTTTTTGTTTATTGGCACAATATGGGCTTTCTTCCAAATTAAGGGAATAATGGAATCAGTCAAAGATTTATTAAAAATGTATGCCATAGGAACTGCCAGCACCGCAGAACAAGAAGACCAAAAGTTTTAACCTTCATGTATTCCACATCACGATATAATAACATTTTTGTACAACTGGAACTACCACGTTTCTTTTTTACTGGTCATACCAGAAGGCTCTCGGTTGAGTCTTAATGACTTCCTGTATGTTATTAATATAAGCATTATGACATTGGATCTGTACAGCCTTCTGTCTTTTTTGTAACAATGCAAACTCAACGTAGTCGCGTTTGTTGCCTGTTTTTTGAAATTTAGCATGTACTTTAGATTTTCCCTAATTATATTAACGAGAGCCTTACTAAACCACAGAGGATATGAGAATTTGTTATACTTTGTTAGTGGAATATTTTTACCTATGGCATTATTTACAACTTCGTAGAAAGTCGCCATTTCCTCTATTTTTTATCAGACATCAATTTCATTAAAGTAAATGTTTGGCGGCAAGTAATTGCGTTTTCTAAAATGACGTCTAGGAAAATTTTAATTATTGAGATTAACTAGTTGACATTCTGTACTTTACGATTGTCAATCTCCAGTGGTTAACAATAATAAAAATGATCTGGATATGGATCAGGATGATCATATAAACACTTTTTTTCTTATTTATTTCTGATTAGTAGATTAATAAATAATATAAAGTAACACAATGTTAAAATGTGTGTACTGATGACATACTTTTGCTGTTTGAAATAGAATTTTTTATATTATTATATTATATTTGCTTAAATTATGACATTTTCTCAAGTACCTAATTACTCTCTTGACTACAGAATTATAGATACACTCGTATCGTTTATTTGAAGTAAGACACAAAATATATGTATATATGAAAAATAATCACCTTTTTTTTTACAACATCGCTTATTTTGCTCCCGTTCCAAGATGAGTAAGCTAAAGCCCCCGTATTATAGAGTATCTGAGACAACGAAGATACGACAACACCCAGACCCGAGACAACATAGAAATGTCCTTTTTGACCGAGAATCTAACCTTGGACTTCAGAGATGGCGACACCTTGAAACCGGCATGCCAACCACTGGGCTACGGAGGTCGATAATCTGTCTTAAAATGTCGTAATTTATTACCTTAATAAGCCTATTGTATTATTGTCAAATATAATAAAGAAAGTATTAACCTTTTTTGTGTTTCTCGCAGCATTAACCAAATAGGAACCATGCGACATGTTCGACCAATCGAGTAGTATAATATTTGTACCAGGTTTACTTTCTAAGTAGGAGCTCACCACGACCTGAAACCGATAAAAATATCAATTAGTAGATGTTAATATATTTTTTATATTTGCAGTATGAGTTTTGTTAAACAGGTAGGGGAGAAGACCTGGTTTTGACCACTGACCTCTTTTTGGCCATTTGGGTCTGTAAGGTGTTTTAATTGGCGTCTAGATATCAAAATATTTTTAATATATCGCACTCCCGGTGCGACACTGTCACTTATGCAAAAATTTAGTTTTTCAGAAGAAGAGTTTTAAACTCTGACACCTCACAAAACAATGACTTTAGAAGATATAGATGAGATGAATCATACGGAAACTATGCGTACAACAAAAGTAACATTATCGCACCAAGTAAAGGGGTGCTTTAGGACAATTATTACATATTTAACTAATTTTTGTATTTTTTGCAAAAGTGTCAGTGTCGCACCGGGGGTGCGATATGCAGTATGAGTTTTAAAGACGACCCGGAATTGACCACTGGCCTTTTTTTGGCCGTTTGGGACTCCAAGGCGTTCTATTGGCGCCTAAGATTCTCATTGCGAATAGCAAATATATTACTTATCCGCTCCTCAAATTTATGAATTCATTATAATTGTATTATGGCTAAATTAATATCTTTATTCCATTGAACTGCCAAAGTTCACTTCTTCGTAAACGTTTTTTTTTATTACTATATTTGAGAAACATTTAGGAATCAACAATAGTCAAAAGATTTGAAAATCTTGATTTCGAAAGATGCAATTCGAAGACTGGAGTTAACTTAATGGATATTTTTCACTGTCGTTAATGCGTTTTCCTTTTTATAAAAAATCTATTCAAAGATAATAATGGGAGAATTGTTATTTAAACGTATTATTACGAGTTTTTTTTACATTATTACCTGAATAATACTATGTTAGGGATGACGACTAATTTTATGTTTATTTTTCAGTCAGGTGAATCTTTGAAAAATATCAAACACAGATTTTTTTTTGTAACCATTAAATTACGGCGGAACATTGAGTTAAAATGTCACATGACGTCACGTTTTTGTACTTTTTTTACAATACTGTGACGTAGCGAGCCCCCACTCTTCGGCTTTAATGCCTGTTGTCTAAGCTATTCCTTGTTAAATGGAAGTAAAAATATACATATTTAATATTTGTCTATTATCTATGACGGACTAAATAGAATTTCTTTTTTTATACCCATTCATCAAACCTTTTTTCATTGTATGTCATCAACTATTAAATAATTAAAATTAAATAATAAACAAATAAATATTGGGTGACATATATACCTCAGATTCTTAGAATAACATGACATATATAGCACAGATTCTAAGATGAGTAGCCAAAGTTCTCGTATTATGGAGTATCTAAGATAATAAAGGTACCACAACACCCAGACTCATTTTCTTGACCCTATCGGGAATCAAATCTAGGACTTTAGGTATGGTGACACATCGATACCGGCGTACAAACCACTCCGCTAAGGATATATTTTTACCAAACTTAATTTTAAAATCATTTGGGACGATGCAGGTAATTATTAAATAATCTGTGAGATGGGTTCGTGATTCGGTTCGCAGTCGGTCCCCAGCTAAATTTATTTTGCTGCTTCTAATATCGTATTATTTTCATCCGGAAAATGTGTCATCGGTCTCCCATGTGATAATATAAATGTACAGTGAAAAACTTATTTTAATGTCTTGGTAGTTTCTTAAGTTTATTGGCATTGGTGAAACATACATTGATGTTCTTTTTTTGGGACAGTACACTTGATCAACGACCATAGTCATTTTTATGACAATTACAAAAAAAAAAAAAATCAAATACAATAGGAATTGATTCCAAGTTTTCTTTGGATATTACATGATATGTTTAATTTTGTCTTTAAATCGTGTTATTTAAGCTGAATGTGCGGTATACGAATGACGTCATTATCTAATAGTAAGCATTGACGTACGGGTGCAACAAGGAATCAAAGGTTTCTCTCCAATCATGGCTTTTTTTTCAAAAACAATAAAGATATAATATAATTCAGTGAAGTTAAAAGATTTATTTTATTTTTTATGTAAGTAAATTCAAATTATTATTATATTTTTTTACCTATAGCATTTACCCTATTAAATGAATAAATTAATGAATATATAGTTTATTGTACAGTAACACATAAACATAGAAACATATCTTATTAGAAACATAGATGCAAAAGGTGGCCTTATTGCTAAGGTAGCAATCTCGACCAGACTACCCTTGGCTAAAAGAAACTATATTGTTTGAGTAAAGAGACTGAAGGCTAGTGTATTAAAGAAAGAAGGATGAAAAACATTTTAAATACATATGCATACATTAATAAAAAAATAAAATAATATTTCAGGGAGATAAACCCAGCTTGACTTGTTTAAAGGACTCCTGTGATTGTGTGTACTGATATTAACAGGCAGTGAGTTCCACTGCTTTCCAATTTTTATAAACTTGCCATTCAATTTTGAAGTAATAAGAGGTTAGAGTTGTTGAACCCAATGATTATGGTAGAGGTTGAAAAGAGCCAACAGCTTAATTAGGAGAAGCAGTGGTGATCGTTTCGTTAAACAAATAATCTCTAACGATCACAAATGGCATTATAATAAATATTTTTTTATTATACAATGTTGAATATATTTTTAACTGTAATAGCTCTGTGTCACTGCTATCGCTCTCAAGGTACTTAAACAGTGGCTTATATTCTATTTATATCCGGGCGTAGAACTATAATTAGAGGACAACAATATCTATATTGGCATTACATGTGGTAATAACGCCAAACGTGAACGAATTGATTGAGTCTTTTTCATAATCTAAAAGAAGTTCCTATGTTTACTCTTTTGTTTTTCTTTATGTTGATAAAAACCTTTTTATTTGTTCTGTTTCTCATTTTTTAAAAAAACGAGAAAATTTTGTTTTTGAAAATAGAACTAAAAGTATTGAACTCGGTGAATCACTAGCACAGACTAAGAAGAAAATACCTCCAGAATGCATTGCTTTGCAACTTGCGTAATGGCCGGTTGTGGCTAGAACCTTTTATTTATATAAATGAAAGGTTGTGGTTAAAAATCGGAAAATCATTGGAGTAAAATTATAAGATCGCTAATTATTGTATTATTTTATTTTTCATAATCGTGTGAAGGAAACATTTAACACTGTATTTACACAATACAACAGCGAAGTTTAGATTGTTGAGTTAGAAACGAATTATGTGAACCGACGTAATCTCTGAAGGGATCGTAAAGGTAATGAGTTCGCTGGACGAGCTTTATATAGAATGTTTAATTCTAAAAATATTTTGCGTTTTATTTAGAACAGTCTCTCATGTTACATTCTTATTCTATTTAATGTATTCTAATCTTTTCTGTTTGTCTGACTGAAAGGAAATGTTACATCGTAGTGATAGTTTGCTGACAGTATCGTGATATTATTGTGGCTTATTGACAGTCTCTGCTTATGGTCTTGAGGACTTCCGTAGTGGAGTAGTAGTTCGTACGGTTTCAATGTCGCTCTCTATAAGTGTAAATGGGTTCGATTCCAGGTCAGGTCAACGTAAAAAATGTACTTTTCAATATAGAAATTTAACTTTCGAATATTGTGTTTATATGCTTTCTTTGTTTCAGATTTTCATAATACAGTGGCTTTAGCTACTACTCGTATGAATCAACGTGCAACCAGAAGACCTCTAAGAGAGAGTGAAGAGAGAAATAGAATATTCTCTCTATACGAAATTTTGTTTATTTCCGTAATGCTAATACGACTCCAAAGAAAAAGATTTTTTTCGATGATATATGTTGCAACGGAAGTAGGACCTGACACTACCTCTTATCTACAGATAATTTTCATGGATATGATTTTACAAAATTATATGTACGATTCGCAATTTTGAAGAATTTTCGTTCGAAAACAAATAGAATATGCCTCCTGGTGTCATGTTAATTTCTAAGAGTTATACTTTGATTCTGAGCAACCTATGTAATATTGTCTGTTATACAGGATTTTTTTTAATCAATGCATATATTTTAATGTCTTCATTTCGAAAAAATCATCTCTTATTCTTTCTTTATTTCCTGCTAATTTCAGAGATAAAGGATCAAAGTCTTTAAACTCGTCGCTACTTATGATATACCCAGGGTGTTTGGAGGCTCACCCTGTGATTCAGCCAGTTACCAGGGCCCGGATTACGCGAGAGGATAGTACGGAGGTTTTGTCGGGATGGCCAGCTGCATTGGACCGCCGTTCCTTGCAGCTGGAGAGCCCCGGTTTAGTCGGCCTTCGTCAGGGACCATAAAATGTTAAGGTCAATTCTCTTCGGAATAAAAAAAGGGTGTTTTACCAATAGCTATTAAAATAAAAATGAAAATATACATTTAAACAAAATTTAAATAAATATTAAATCAATTTATACATAACTTTAAAAAAAACTTCGCAAATATGTTCCATTTACGACAAAAATAGGAATGATGACATGCTAAAAAAAATCTATTTAGTCCGTCAGTCACGTATTTTTTTTACTTCAATTATCAAGAAATAGCTTATATAATAGGCATTAAAGTTAAGGTGTGGGGCCTTCCAACGCCACAGTTCGGAAGAAAATGCGCAAAAAAATTACAATTTTAACGTCAACGACCGTGGTCTAACATGCGTGGGATCTCACCATCAAATTAGCATCACAAGCGACTTGCCACTTCCTCTGTGTCCTTAGGTTTGATAAAGCTTAGTGTGATTATAAGGAATTTGTCATCATGTAATAATAACTTTGATTTTTTTTTAAGTTCCATGGTCCACCTAACTTACTTTAACGTGCTTAATGTTTTTCCGGTACCTATTAGGTTCCGGTAAGCAGTAAAGTACATGTCGGACTCTCGTCTGAAGGGTTCCTTTTACACCGTTATCCATTAAAAAAGAAAAAGAATCACGTTTCTTGTTTTCTATGGAGTTGTTAAAAATTTTCGAGCTAAATACAATTGGTCGACTATTACTCGTAAACTTGTAAAGCCCTCTTAAGTGTGATAGCTTTCCTCTTAACTTCGTTAATATATTTGAATTTTTACCAATGACAGTTTAGTTGGTAGAGGGGGGACACTTGATTCTAACGAAAATAAGCTTTTTAACGCTTAATAAGTCGAAAAGCGAAAAGCGGCCTTCCCACACTCCCGATGTTTTTGAAAGACCTATCTAACGATACTCCACACTATGGGGAGGACGAAAAAAAATATCCCCCATTTTACATAGGTATAGGAGAGGTGCCCTAAAAATTTTTTTGGTAATTTTACTTAACCACTTTGTCGGCGAAATTAACGTGTATACTCAGTGCAAATCACAATATTCTAGCATCTATAGATTTTGAGCTAAACCTCGGACGGACGGACAGACGGACATGGCGAAACTATAAGGGTTCCTTGTTTACTACGCAACACTTAAAAGAAAATTGTTAAATTTTTCGAATCATTGCAATCGCGCCACTGAGGTGGAAATGGTTTATGAAAGAGGCGTATTTTTACAGGACTGCCCAAAAAAGAGTGTATTGTGGTTAGCGTTAATGTTTGTATGTATATGTTTCTGATTGGAGTTTACCTGGATACTCTCCTGCAGTGCCGTTTCAATGAAGCCGTGGATATAAAGTACAGTTGAATTGTTTTTATCGAAGCCTTTAATATTGAACAGGCGAGTCGCTTCTGATAATGGAAATTCCACGTAGTCTTCGGGAGACGACCTAAAACAAATATGTATTTCAGTCGGGCAGTTATTTCTAATTTTTAATATTTTTTTTTTATCTTGGCGCTGTATAGCGAGCGTATTTACGCTGACTTGATCGATTTAGTATTTTTAGTGTCCTTTTATTATGCGCTTTTAAAAATGCCACCAAGAAGCAAAATGTTTTACTAGGTGTAATTTTCACTAAGTGGTTTATTGTTTACCAAATGTTGTATTAGTTAAATCGCTTCTAGTTAAGCGTGTTAATTTGACAGTGGGCAACTTAACTCAACATTGTTTTTCATAGAAATTATAAGCCAGGATGGACTTACTAAGCTCTGATTCAAAATTAGTATTAGTCTCCTACTTTAATTGTTTTGTTCCAACAGTAGAATTATAAATGTAATTTAGAAGAATAAAAATTTTTGATAAGATCAAGGTAAGTACCTAGTTTCAATAACACGTCAGGTTATATAAATCTGTTGAATCTCTTCACTTGATTTTAAAATTTAATGCTTAAATGGTAGAGTTGCAAATCAATTGCGATAATTTAACATATTGTGGTAACCTGACGTGTTGCCGTGAATTCTAATTATGTCACAGCAATCACAAAATTGCTGTGATCTAAGTTGTTACACATAATATTTATTATTATTACTAATATGTAAGCATCTCTATTGTAGTATGAAGGTTAACCGGTCATTCATAGATCGATAGTGAATTATCAGATAAGTTATCTGTATATCTACAATATCCATAAACATATGTAACCTATATGCATATAGATTATCGGCGCAATATTATTGATCACAAACAGTCAATTTAATATTGAAATACCAGTGGCTTTCCGATTCGATAGGTATGTAAGTGTTAGTGTGATTTGTTGTTTAGTTTGTTTAGTTTGCAACGTATCAAAAATTCGTTTTTCGTTTTTACTAGCGATGCGCCGAATAGTAGTTTCACTGAAATAAACGAATACCGAATAGTATTCGGTTTACCCTTTACCGCACCGGATTATTCGACACAATAATTCGGTTTACCATTACACTGTTTAAGTTTAGCCAGAATACGTGTGAAGTCTTCATTTATAATGCAGGGAACTAATATGAAGAAAAAAGCAACAGACTCTTGCTGAAGAGGGCCAAGAGCTAGGCATTTCTGCACCATAGTTTACTAATAATTAATTGTAAATATTAGAATATGCCCTTTTATTTTTGCTCATCTTATCTAATGTTTATTTTGTTGCTAAACTCTATTATATTTTTATAGCCTTTTATTGCCAAATTACCCCATAAGTGTGAATAAAAAAAGGTTCAAAACATATTGATTTTAAGATTAAAAATAAGTATTGATTTAAATTTCAAAAAATTCGCTAAAATGATGATTTTTTTGCATTTTATTTCATAAAAATTATGAGCCCACCAAAAACATTTCACATAAAGAGTTGCCAAGACACTGTATGGCTCACACTGTCACATAGGCGTAAGGTGCACTGTGTACTGTACTATCCACTATATTTTTTTGTGATATAGGTAGTTTATAGTTCTTGTAGTAACGACATGGTTTAAAACTATCTTTCGACTACGATGAAGATTGATTTTATAAGGTTAAATAGTTAAAAAAAAGTGTTTCCCTACAATATTGTAAAAAAGATTTAAATTTAATAGAAATTTAGTTTTTGTAAAAACAGGGAGATCTTCGAATGTAGACTTCCGAGTATTTGGTAAAACTGTAATATTACTTTTTGTATACGTAGAAATGGAGTTTTATTGCATCTATTCACCTAGGTATATCGGTTTTAATACCCTATAGTTACTTGGCTTATTCACGTAACTCGGCCATGTAGACACATCCCTAGAAGTTACACTAAAAAGTAATGATGAGTTTCAAGAGATAAAATATTTAGTTATTATAAAAAACTTAATAAAAAAGGTTTTATTGTGTAATTTATTTAATGATTATGTAAATCGATGTCATTATTAAAGTTGTCGGATATAATATGAATTAATGTTTTATTTACAAATACCTATTTAATTAATATAAATAATAAAAAATAATTATGAAACTTCATCTGGCTAAAACGATTAACATAAAGTATGAAAGAATGTAAAGAAAACTTAAAACTTATGAAAACTAGTATCTATGTAATAATAGGTTAATAAATAATTAGTATATACGAGTATATGTAAATTCAAAAGATACTACGTATTATGTTCTTATACTCAAAGGTGAAAAATTGTGACTTACCCATTATAAAAACGTAAATATATATCTTCCAAGCGATTGTTTCTGTTTGGAATTGTACCTGAAACAATGATAGTATATGTATAGAAATGAAGTTAAGCTTATGAAGTTAATAATAATAAACATTTATTTGGGACAAGGTACTTCATGCTAATATATATTACAAAAAAACAGAAAAAGATATGTCCCAAAACGGTTTCAGCTCAGCATATGCTGGTCTTGCGACCAGCGCTGATCTTTCTGTTTGGTGAACTCACGAACAGCAGCACAATTTTATATCATGGCTGTACGGTACATGATTTATCGATGTCATACGTCCACTGCACCAGGATTTTAAATACCATAAGACAGTTTTGACATATAGTATCTTTATGGAAGTAATTCGTATGATATGCATGCATCGTATTATCTTTTCTCATATAATACGTACGGTCAATGTTAAAGGAGTGGACAAATTCATACAAAGTTATGGTAAATCCATTGCATTCCGTGTGGCCATACAAAATGCGTATTAATTGGACGTTCACCTTTACACTCTCATTTTCTTACTTTACGGTCACCGATACAATATTTAAGTAGAAAAAGAATACATTGCGTTGTAGAAAAAAAAAGACACAGGCACGCATTTTGACTTAAAAAAAATGTTCTAATTATTATTTTTGAATAATTTTACATTAATAACCCTAGATTATAAACGTATATAAAATATCTTACTAATAGATTTTTACTAATAAAGAGGGAACATTGATCGTCGGCGTCACAAGATCGAGTCGAGTCTTAACACATGAGTCTTAACAAATATATAAATAATTATAAGTTAGATAAAGTTGAGTAGAGAATGCTATTAGCATGAAGTCCGCTTCTTGTACCAATTCAATGATCAATGAAGTTTGTTAATTAAATGAGTAAAGGTAAGTTAATTTAAAAATAAAGACCTCTGGAGGTTGGCGACAGATACATCATTAAAAAAAAGTTTTTCGTCTAAAGCGAGAAATGCTATTGCTCTACTCTGTGACGTTATAATATACGTCACAGAGGAATATAATTTTGAAATAGAATTTTGAATAAGAACATGCTTACAGTTTAGTTTTTTCTTCTTTTATTACCTCAAAATTATATTTTTGTTGTATCTTTACGTGTAAAGGCTGCTAACACGAGATTTGCAGAATTGAGTAAATGCAAATTCGTAGGTCAAAAGTTAAAAAAAAGTGAAAATGAAAAGTATACTAAATAGAGTAAATTCTAGAGATTTCTACGAAAAAAGTTTATGTTTTGTTTTAGATATTATTTTTATTACATTTGGAAGTAGGTTTTATTTCATTGAGCCTCCAATGCGTTTGATGCTCCATTTCTAATGGAATACTAAAGATTTCGCTACGTGTTACCAAAGAGAATAAATTACCTTGTTCATATACACATAGGATCTTCGGTTATAAAACATAGGACTTTTAAAAATAATTAAATCATAACCTCTGTAGTGATAAACTTAAATATTTTTTTTTAATTTAAATCACTTTTATTTTAAGATGATTTTCTTGTAAGACAGAAATCTTTAATCCTTTAATAATTTTCTTAAATAGGTATTAAAATATTTACCTTCATTCAAAATGGAGGTGTTATCAAATTGACATTGAGCTATTATGCTAAGAATATATATGAAAATTGTATACATCATTGCAAATAAAAAAAGCAAAACACGTCCACACAACCTGACTGAATGATTTAGAAGACGATCTAATAAAAAAAGAATGGAAATCATTATTGTAATGGTACCTAACTAAAATAATTGTTTTCCGGCCTTGTAATATCAATCTATCCTACACGTAATGATTTGTATGATTTATGTATGCGTGCGAATAAAAAAAATCACAAAAAGTATTTTATAACGCATTAGATATAAGTGGCGTGCAACTTGTGTATTATTGAGAGTAGCGTTAGTAATGTACGCAGAGAGGAACGAAATTATTTATGGATGTTTGTTTATTTAATTTTGTGAAATCGTCAACACAATGTATATTGTTTACGAAATAAATTGAATTATTAGTCAATTATTAGTTAGAAAAATTTCAACTTGGCTTTGTTTTAAATTTCATACATAGGTAGTATTGAAGAAATATTTATTTATTCTTAATGAAAAATACTTAATTCACCAAACCCAGGTAACTCTGATATCGTGTATCAGAGTTACACGAATCCACGACTTTTCGCAATCCGGGCGAAAACAATAATTTTTTATTAATTTTTTTTTTCAATTTTTTCGAGTCCACCAGATCCACCAAAAATCAACTCGAATGTCTTGGTAAATGAATTTAAAGACTTTCATATGATTATATTTGTCCACTGACATACCTACTTTTCTCCAAAGTATTATAATTTTTTTTTTCATCAAGAAATTGTCCCGCAAAAACAATCAGTCCCATGGCATTTTGAGCCGTGAATTGTAGGAGTAGTAGGTTGTCTGGAAATGATCGCTGTATGTGACACAGCCTATTTAATGTTGTTTTTCTTGTACGATGTATGTTTTGTATTTGGTGTTAACAATAAAGTGTTATCTATCTATCTATCAAGAGTACTGGCAACAAAGACGTTGACGTTTAATTTATTGGAATGTGACTTGTGTCGCGTTTCTGTTGTAATCCACAGTAAAACGTATGCAAGTTAATTTTTCAAAAATAAAATATACTAAAGTTTTTTTTTAAATAAAAATACTAAGGTTTGTTTTTATGTATATTACTATTACCAATATATAACTGTCAACTAGTCAATTTTATCCTCTATTCTAAAGCATGTACGTTTAGTGCGGCTTGTTTCCGAGTGATTTGAAGGGCTGACCCCGACGATGCGGGGGCCACGTTGACCCGGTTTCTACAATTAAAAATTCATCTTAGGAATTCTTCCAAAGGTCCAGGCTACCATTATCAATAAAGCGATTGCTCATATTAAAATCACAGATAATACGAAATTTATATTTAAAACATATCTTTTTTTATTTTGTTCATAGTGACTTATAATTTAATATTGTAACGGGTTTCGGTTAGTTCAGATGTTGGTAGTTTAATTAAAATTCTACTAGGTTTGAGGAGTGTATTTACGGTAAATATAAAAAACTGTAAGAACAAAAATAAAAGTTACATAAAAACAGCTCGTTATATATTTTCGAAAATTATAATAGTTTTGATAAAAATACTTAATTACATTCCCCGTTTCTGGATTTTCCTTAGAAAATAGATCTTAGTTTCATAAATACAGTTAATTTACTTTTTACATAAGATTTTTAAAAATATTTTATTAATTTTCAATGATAAACGTGTTGTTATTGGAAGATTTTTTTACGAACTCTCATTCAGAATCAGCATGACGTGCTTCTAATAATTTCAAATTACGAAAAGCTACAAAAAAAGTATGTATATGATCTTAAAGGTCAGAGACAAAAAGTTTGGATGCGGGAATATAGGACAAAATAAATGGCGTGTTATATACAACGCACCGTTAGAATATATTTCATTTAACTAAGATAAAAAAGAGGGGGTTATAGTTTTTAAATGTTTTATAACTGACTTTAACACATTGGCTGCTATGAGCTGGAATGAAAAGCTAATTTTTTCAGGTACTGTTTCGAGGATTTTACGGGGGCCAGATACAAACGATAATAGCACCATAGTAATATTACGCTTTAAGCATCATCGGTAGGATTAATAAATTTATATAGAGTATTGGACCAATACTGACGGCGTGTCTTCTAAGTCATGATCGTAACATCCAAAAAAAAAACGAATTAACTATAAAGGATAAACGAAACAAAACAAAAAAGAAATTGATTCAGCTATATATATATATTTCAAGAAGTGAAAATATGTTGTTACGCAAACACATTGTTGTCTCGGTTGCCCTACTAATAGACTTTGTGAGAGAGTGACAAATTCATTTCAATGAACCATCAGAGCCAATCAGAATGTTTTTGATGTCAATCGATGGTAAGTTGTAATTGATATAATTTGTTATTGGAATCTTCATAGTACCAATGTTTATTTGAGAAGAAAAAGTGATTTTTCGCAGTTGTTTGCAATAATATTAGATCACAAAATTATCTACTTACGTGGATTCCAGAAATCTCGGTATTTTAGTGAAAACAAAAGTGTATCATATGTGAAATCTGGTTCTGAATTAGATATGTGATAAATGTCATTAAAATTTGTAACTGTTATACTATAAGATCTAGAAACATGCACAGTCAGTCAGTATCTGCAAGAGTAGCTGTGCCTGCAAATTTACATGTAGGTACAGTATTCCTATAGCATTACGAACTCGAGAAACGCTTTATCTTTACCAAAAGTCACCATTTTTCTGATCGAGAAAGGTGACATGATATTTGGGTGTAGATAAACATTCTCGAGTTTGTCATGCTACTGTGCTAAGGATGCCCGTGGAGGGGCGAAACACGTGGTGGCTTTCGCGAGATTTATTGTCATTTGTTCATGTGAATTTGTGTACCAGTGGTGCACTTCAGGTGTTGTTGATAGTGACTGGGAGTGGAAATTGCTAGACGTCATATTTCACAATTATAAAAATCAACTTCCGCAAGATAAGGCCTTTTAAATCAAAATATGTGATATAACTTTGCCACAGGAAGAAAGATACTAACTTTTAACTCTATACGAAATGCGAGGCAAAGCGTAACTATTAATTTCTACTGTCAGTGACGACCCGATGACCCAACCCCATGCTAATAAAATATGCCCTTAAAAGAGATTTATCCTGTGTTTGCAAAAAATAATGATAAAATGGACAGATCAAAATATTTCTTTAGTGAAGATCATATATCAGTGTCAGAACGTGAGTTTACAAGATTATTATTTCATCAATTTGTTTTACGAAAAAAATGCTCTATTATATATTGAAAATCAATATCTGAGTTAATAAGTAACTAATAAGTCACTGTAGCAGACTTTGTATATACTAAAAACATTTGTTTCTAAAGTAATATGGTGACTCCGGTGCTGCGCTTACATGTAATATTAATATTTGTGCTAAGTTTTGCTAATTGTCAAAATATTTTATTTG